AGATAGATAGATAGATAGATAGATAGATAGATAGATAGATAGATAGATAGATAGATAGATAGATAGATAGATAGATAGATAGATAGATAGATAGATAGATAGATAGATAGATAGATAGATAGATAGATAGATAGATAGATAGATAGATAGATAGATAGATAGATAGATGTGTGTGTGATGTATATATGTGATAATCAATCAATAATATAAATACAAATAATCAGATTTTTGTCTTGTTCTGAGTTTATTTGTTCAAATAGTTAGGGAATTGTATGTTTTGAATGGTATGATGATTTCGATGAGATTTAGACATTTTTATTCTTTAAATTTTTAAAAATCAACTTCTATTTGTGTTCAAGCTATCAAACCATAAAAAAAAAACATGTCATTTTGAAACAAAGTAAAATTGCATTAGCAAATGTAAATGTGTCTGATTAATGTGAAATCGGGTAAACAATTTTTCTGAGATCCTAAGCAAAGATTAATAAAACTTGCATGTAATTTTATTTGGCTGAGAAACACTTCAATGTTTAAAGATGTGGCCAAGTGTCTGCAATACAACAATCTTAATATTTTACATATAAAAACAAAAGCAAATGAACTAAGGTTGTATGTGAACATTTATCCCATGTTAAATATGTAATCTATCACCAAGTGTTTGAATGTCACAGCACAGAGGCTGCACTTCTGCTTCCTTTTTCCAACGTTTGGTTTCTGTTTCATTGTATGCATATTTTTTTTTAGCTCCAGCCAGTCATCAGTCTGTTCAGATTAAAGCAGCAACAGATTAGAGCAGTGTGTAGAACGTAGTGACATCTAGTGGTAAAGTTGCAAATTACAACCAACACTTTACCTCAACTCCCCTTAACAATCATTAAGAGAAAATACTGCCACTTAAAATGCAAAATGTGTAAAAATAAAAATAAAAAGGACACTTTAATTCATTCAAAAACATTCTTTTTTGTTAAACTTGCTTCATTATAATATTCTACTTTTAGTTTTTAACTTTTTGGTAGCGTTTTGATATTTTAGCTTCTAACTAGCCTTTTGATAATTTTATATTTTAGCACGTTTTGCTACTTTTAGCTTTTAGCTAGTGTTTTACTGCTTTTAGGTGATGTTTTACTACTTTTTGCTTTTAGCTTGCATTTTGCTAACTTTGGCTTTTAGTTAGCATGTTTTTTCTTTTAGCTTTTCAGTTAATGGTCTTCTTCTTTTACCATTGTATTTAGCAGAAAATGCATTTTCTCTTGTTTTTACTGATATCTTTAGAAAATAAATCACTTTTATTTTGTTTTCTGAATGTTTTCTACCAATCAATCTCGTGAAATTTCACTCTATAAACCTTTCAAGTTTCCAGTTAGAGTTTTTACTGAAACTTGTGTTTGAACGTGTTAAATCGTCCTATTTGTTTACTTGAATCGAAAGAGTTTTAAAATGATGTCGCAATCTATCATCATATAATGCACTTTTTATCTTTATTTTACCTTTTTTTTTTTTTTTTACTTTTATGCTTCGGCAAATGATGAGAAGTTCAGTTTATAATTATATAAAACGTATTGAAATAAATGACTGGTTGGATTTCTAAGCAGAAAATGGAGAAGCTGTATAAACTTTATAAACCATGCACCAGAGTTCATGCTCAGTAATCCAAGTATAAAATCCAACAATATTCAGTCATGTCATCTGGATGGTTTCGTTTTTTGCTGAAACGTTTCATCCTTCTTCTAAAGGACTTTCTCCATCCGAGAAGCTACCAAACAAAACTGATTCCCACAAACATCATACGTTTGTGGGAATCAGTTTCAACCTTTTTTTTATTTAACCAGGCAAATCCCATTGAGGTCACAGATCTCTTTTGCGACGGAGGCCTGGGCCTAAGTCTAACATGCATGTTTTTGTTCTGTGGGAGGAAACCGGAGTACCCGGAGAAAACCCACTCAAGCACGAGAAGAACATGCAAATTCCACACAGAAAGACCCCAGACCCAACTGGGAATTGAACCCAGAACCTTCTTGCTGTGAGGCAACAGTGCTAACCACCGAGCAGTCGTGCTGCCACAAGTTGCCACGTTTTGTTTGGTGATTTCTCGGACTGAAGATGTCCTTTGGGCTATGGAGTATGCTGTTAGTGGGAATCACTTTTGTTTGGTGGATTATTGGATTGAGGAAGTCCTTTGGATGAAGGACGAAACGTCTCAGCAAAAAGATAAACATTTTAGTTGACGTGACTGAACATCGTTGGATTGTATACCTCAATCATCTGGTGTTTTGAAGCACTTTGGCATGACAGTCTCAGAGCAGTTGACGAGGGAGAGGGCGGGCCCCAGAGGCCATCTCAGCACCAGCCAACTGTTTTTTTTTTTTTTTCCACTATGGTGTATGCTATTTGTGGGAATCAGTTTTGTTTGGTGGCTTCTCGGATTGAGGAAGTCCTTTGGATGAAGGACGAAACGTCTCATCAAAAAAAAAGAAACCATCCATATGACCTGACTGAAGATTGGTGGATTTATAAACCCTGCACAGATATTGAGGGCCAGCTCCTGATCTTACACAGAATTCATGCGGATTCAACCACATTGTTTAAACTCATCAGTGTTTCTTGTGGACAAATCCCATCTCGGCTTCTTGTTTTCCCCTCGTCTGCTGCATGTTCTCACTGCTTCAGCTCTATAACTGGAGAGAGAGAGGCTGAAACTTGATTATTTAATGTCCTTGAAAGATACCGGGACAAAATGAAAGGAACACAAACCTCCTCTCTATCTTTCGGCCATCTCTTCTAACAGATCAATTGATGTTTTGTTCGTAAACAACTTGGTGTCTGTTGAGGACCACATGTTGATGTTTTGTTTTGTTTTTTTGGTGGGGGGGTTAGATGGAGAGAGAGAATTTCTCCGTTTGGAGTATTTGACCTGTTATTAAAATATTTGCAAAGTAAAACAAAACACATCCAGAATTTACACTCATGGGAAAAGACACTATAGGTGTGTTATTCAGCATGAACATTAACCTAAGTTCATATTTAGATAATTGGGTTACTTATAGTATCAGAAATGAAATAGGCTCATTCCCATGAGACAAATATGTAAAATACCACATAGCAGGGATTTTTCCTTCCATTTTCTTCCAAAAAAGAGCCTTAGTTTGAAATAAATTTGAATTTGAATCACAAGGGACGCTTAACACATTCTTGGAAAATGTATGCTGCTCTCAAACTTGAAGCACATGTATAACAAAACATTTTCCCCCTACCGTTTTTTTTTTTTTTTTTTCCCTGAGGGATGGAAAAAAAGAAGATAGCAAAGATTAAAGTAAAAAAAAAAATGAGTTGGGAGTTAACCACTAAACTCTCTAGACAGTAAGGTTGCCCGACTGTTTCTAAATATAAACCAGCAATATGAAATTTGATTTAACGTGTGGGAAAGTTCTAGTACTCTTCTTATCTGTGTTTAATTATAGTAATCCTATGATGGGATGGGGCTGATGATTTTTGGAGGATTTTTAACGAGGTGTCCACTGAAGCCACACAGTCTGTAACTTAAAGACTAATATTTTAAACTTAATGTCTGTGGGTGTAAATACGGACTGATAAGTTGGCTGGAAACGTTTGCCTCAGCCGTCCATCTGTGATTTAAGAATTACATGTACATAGTTTGGTCACAAACCATACCAAATATGTAAACTCTGCTAAGGGAACTGTAATTTGTCGTGACAAATAGTCCGTTTTTTTTTTTTCTTTACCAGCTGTGTTGTAGTGATTTAGCTAACCTGAAATTGAAACGTTAAGCTACATGCCCTATTGAGTTTGTATTAAGTCATATTAAAGTACTCACTCAGTCCAAGTTTTGAGATTTTGCATGTAATGTTCAAAAAAATTAGAACGAGATTTTATTTTCTATAACAGCTGGTGCGCACAAGTTTAAGAAACCCCAAATCAATGAAAGACGCAGAGAATTGGCAGAATGAATCCAAATTACTTTGTAGTACTTTATAGGAAATATACTACCAGTACTTTTATACATTTTGATAGCTTAGTTTTATAAATACCCTGAATTTGTTTTGTTTTGGAGCACAACTTGAGACAAAACAGCTATTGGAATACATTTGGGCTTTTTGCACATGCGTTTTTTTGTTTTTATGTGGACTGCCCCATTTAAACACACATTGCATGATGATAACTACTGCAATTTGTTTTTTGAAAAACCAGCACAAATTTGCTTCTCAATCCAAACAAGCACACGTTGTTTTCCTTATTTTATGTTTTACACTTCCATCCATCCATCCATTATCTTCTGCTTGTTCTGAAGTCGGGTTGCTGAGGCAGCAGCCTGAGCAGGGAGGCCCAGACATCTCTTTCCACAGCCACCTCTTCCTGCTGTTCAGGGAGGACTTCAAGGTGTTCCCAGGCCAACCGAAAGACTCTCCAGCGTGTCCTGGGTTTTCCCCGGGGTCTCCTCCCAGTCGGACATGCCTGAAGCGCCTCCCTTTTGCTTACAGGAACACCCTCACCAGATGCCCGAACCACCTCAACTGGCTCCTCTTGCTGTGGAGGAGCAGCGGTTCTACACCGAGTCTTTCCTGATTACTGAACTTCTCACCCTACCTCTAAGGGAGAGCCCAGCTACCCTACGGAGGAAGCTCATTTCAACTGCCTGTATCCACAATCTCATTCTTTTGGTCACTACCCAAAGCTCGTGACCGTAGGTGAGGGTAGACTGACACATAAACAGAGAGGTTTGCCTGCTCCCTCTTCACCACAATGGACCACAACAGAGTTCACAATACTGCAGACACTGTGCCAATCTGTC